AGACGTACCGACTGCAAGAATTGTGGCCTGAAGTCATAAAATGCTGCTGCGAATTGTCGCCAGTATAACTTTTATATGACAACTTTTTTGAATTTCGAAACACAATTACTGCTTTGATGTTAAAGATATTTAAGAGAAACAAGCAGAAAATTGTATATCAAATAAGTTGTATAATTCCAAACACAGAATAAACCTCGTCAGGTGTCATCGATCGATCGATAAGCAGCATTTTATGGCCCCGTAAATGCACGCGATTCTCAGACATCCGGCGTCGTTCCGCCGGCCATCGGAAGCAGAATGCGTGCGAGACGACGGAGAATGCAAGGGACAGTGCACTACATGCCCGGTGTCCGACACCCAGCAGCGTATATTCAGTACTCATACCACGTAAGTACACTAGTACCAGTTCTATTAGTAAATATTTCAAATTAACCTATACTATTTCCAACAAATATTGATAACGCAAGGAACATAATAGAAGTTATTACCGTTGTATTGATCGAGGGAGTCAGCATTCGACTCACGTGGATATCAAACTGACGGTCAAAACAAATTAATGCAAAGTGCACTCGCTTAAGATACGATGAAACTACCTCCGTAGCTAAACATAGAGTCAGCGTTACGGCGACGGCACGTAGACGCTCTCGAATTAAGATAATGGATTCAAGAGCAGCCTCTGACGGAACAATTAACTTAATGAATATGCGGGCGGTCTATGTGTTCTCGGCAAACACACGCCCGGTCCGAATGTCTCTCTGTTCATACATAATAAGTTCCTGCGGACATGTGTTACGTTCACGACCTTCTGCACTTAGAGGATGCTGTGTAGTGAAGGAGCGAATTGGCACTTCATATGAGAAAAAGTGGCTTCCAAAGTCCACGAAAAGAAAGTAACTTCTTTGCCACATCGTAAACTCAGATCAACCACAAATACAAAACGAATGCTTTATATCTTAATGTTATCAAAACCTTATTTGATGGAAAAACTTTAACCGTAACAACTAGGCGGAACTGTTTCCCAAGTTATTTGGAGGTCAACAATATTCAATTCTCTTAGTATTAATGTAGCAACAATCAGTGCTGTATATAGATTATTTAATTGTGATATTGAGTTGCACAAGAGCGGTTGATTGGTCGCTTCCTTCATCACAATAAGCAAGATAATCAGAGCAACGGAGCGATGATTTAGTCCACTCTAATTGGGTAATTGGTCTACTAAAGTATCAGGTTAGTGGACATGGCATATCCTTTTTAGAAGTATAACAAGATTACATTTTTTAAACCTAATACGTGCTGAGTTTTTATATTCGATACTTAAAAAAAATGGTCTTTGTATAATGAATTCAACACGCAACAAGAGCAAATATACAAAATTTCTTGTAATAAAAGCAATGTTATTGTGATTCAGTTATATTTATCCCAATTAGTGCAGCAAGTTGACAAATGTGTTCAGTTAAAAGTTAACTTTGAACTTGATGTAGGTACACTCCGCTTGAATTATGTACGAGATACTTCTGCACAGAGTGTTAACACTACAGAGACATTATTAATTAAAAAATAAATCGATAACGACCCTACTCCTTACTGTTAATTGATCTACACCTTTCTGATTTCTAAAATTTAATAATTGTACTTCAATTATTAAAAAACTTAAGTTAAATAAATTACGATATCTTCTCGATGGTGTTTTATTAATTTTTTTAACTGTAAATTAATTAGTTGTCCACTTGAATACATTGTATTGACTGTTATAGAATCTAAAGATCGAATTTCAACAGGGAATCATATGAAACTCGTGTCTACATCATCCTAGTACTAAAACGAGTAAAGGCCACACACAACTGTAATATGTTATATCTGTAATTTATTGAGCAATATATTTTACTGCAACGAAGTTACTCTGTGCCTTTGAATAATGGCGTGTTACAGAAATAACACTTTGATTTGTTACTTAAAGATATGCACATTCTCTGCCGACGTGACGACTACGACACGATCGCTGTACGTAAACGTAAAAATTGTCTGAGTTTTCTAAACTAAATTATAACACCCCACAACGAGTAAAGAATGAAGCTAGTTAAACATTTTTCCATTAAAATTTGGAGATGCGATAGTTCTGTTGAGGCAAACATAGTTCAATATTTTTTTGGTGCTGACAAATAAATCGTAAGGTGTAAATACAAGTGTTGTTTGATGAGTCGTATTGCACTAAAGGTTTGAGAGATTACGTTTATTGGGTGGTCGGATGCTATAATGAGGTTTTTGATGTGCTTTATTTTTATACGGCACTTAAGCACGAGCTCTCCTTAGGTCAGGGATACGAGACCGTTGATACCAGAGGTGAGGTCAAGTTCCTATGATGTCTTTTAAAGTTATAGTAAATATTTTAGTCGGGGGAAGAATACTGCACAGTATAGGGTTTAAAAAAATATTCTTGAACTGTCACACTAACTATATACTTACTTATAATAATTTTGTTAAGGATTTGTCAAGCGGTCTACTACTTACCAAAGAGACCAAATAGACCAAGACAAAGTTCTAAAATTATCTTACAATTGACATATTTAAAACGTATTTTTCGATACGATAGAGTTTCCAAACACGTCTTTTATTATAATTGTGGATATTTGAATGAAATATTGAATAGATACATTAAATTATGTCTCCTTATCCTGTTTTTCCCAGGACTTATTTGATTCTTTTTAGAGTGTCGCGGCCGCAAGGAGTCATTTTGTAGAATTGAAGCTATAAACATGTCGCACGCTACGATAGTCAGCCATGAATATTAATCCGTGTTGTTAAATATTTACGATAACGCCGCTTAGGGTAACCATGGTTTCTATTTCAAGAATAACCCTAGAGGGTTAAAAATTGTTAGCTTTTAAAATGTATAAACGTCAATTACCGATACAAACATAGAAAACAAACACCGTTGAATTTCCTTCGAACACCTTCAGTATTTCTTCAAGTATAATAAAGAAGGCTACTATTATGGCACTCCTGAACCAGTTTAGAGAAATATACGTGATTTAGATTTTAGTGTGTTGGTAACAAATACCATTTTTTTGCTACAAAAAACTCCATTACATTAAGGATTAACGATAAATTTTTTGAATTAAAACAGTTTATGAGAAAATCCTTTTCTTGTGATTTTGATGGTGCCACTAGTTAATGGACCGTCATATCGGCTTCACTTCTTTTTACCGCGCATTAAAACGAGTGCTCTCAGCGATTGGAGACTGACTGCTATAAACTACTCTCTCGCTCCTTTTGTCATTCGACATCGTCTCTGCGACTTTTAATTTAAAATCTTAATGACTTTTAGCTTTAATTAACTGCCACTTAAATTGTATTTTTGTCACATGTCTTACATGTATTGCTTGGGTATGCTTCATAAGTATTTTTAATGTTTGAAATATCCCTACGGCTCTTATTTAGATGATTTTATATACTTACATATAAAATTAAGATATTAGCGTTATTAGTGACTAGCTTTCGCCCGCGACTCTGTCCGCGTCGAATAAATAAAAACAAAAGTGTCTAGCCTATGTGTTTTTCCAGATTATCCTCTACATTACGCCAAATTTCACCGAGATACGTTCAGCCTTTAAGACAAACTCTAACAAAATCCATCGATCAATCTAAACTTTCGCATTTATAATATTAGTAAGATTATTAATTAATCCTTATTGTATACAAAGAGGTTCTTTTTATTCTATTGTAAATATTATGTCAAAGTTTGTGTAAAGTAGTATTCAACGTACGGCCTAAGTGAGATTAAATGCATGCCCCAGTTCACTTGACTAACTTCGAAGTCGTACAAGTACGTCTTAATGTAAAGAAAACTTTTCTATTCTGTAAGAAGTGTGACATGGCAAAAGTTTTTTATTTAATTTATATAATTACTAGCTGTCGCGGGCGACTCCGTTCGCGTGGAATTAAAAAAAAGTAGCCTATTAGTTCTTCCAGACTATCCTATACTTATTTCCTCGAAATCCGTTTAGCCGTTAAGGCCAGAAACCTTAACATATATCAATCCAACTAAACTTTCGCATTTATAACATTAGTTTTTTTAAAAGGGGGGAAACGAGCGGCGAGAATATCGAGGTGGTGAACGACGCCTATGGACATCCGCAACACCAGAGGAACGTCAGATGCGTTGCCGGCCTTTCAGGAAATGATAGGCTTACTTGATTAGTAAGATTACGCAGGACACTACAATTTGTAACACTTTCGGTTTAGTTCACTCCTAGTTGTTTTTATAACTTTCTATGACACAGAACAAATAGTTCATTTTCATATAAAAAAGACCAATAGGTCGACAAGGAACTAGTGTTTAAAATGGTTTCTTAATACAAAACCAGAGATAGTACATTATCCACGATGTTTTTGTTATTTAGGACCTCATAGGACAATCTTACTAATATTATCCGCTGAACGGATCTCGATGAGATTTGACATAAATGTATAGTATAGTCTTGAAAAACACATAGGCTACTCACATTTTTTTTTAATTCGAAAGCTAATATAAAATAAACTCTTTTATTTTCCTATCCTCTAGTATCAGTAACTACTCAGTATCTCGGGTAGCGGCGAAATTATTTGAACAATCATGATCTTAAAATGTCTTTTAAAATAAAACTCACTTTTATATTTATTGTTTAATAAAATATCACAGTTTTAATTACAATATTTATTTACAAACACTACGTTTTTTTAACATTTACATAATATCAAATACTCATACATTGGCAGTTTAATAAATGCGTATGTTTCATTTAATACATGTTATGAATTATATTCAGTCTTTAACAGAATGTAAAGTGAGATTTTTTTCATATAACAGACTTTAAATAAGCAAATATTGTAATATTTATATTTACAATTAATATTGTTAAATTTAAAATATAATTAAAAATTAAATATGAAAACACCCGGAACAGCAGTATTTTTTAAATTATTTAAATAAATAAATAATAATTAATATTAGATTTGTTAAAGTAGACAATTTTGTGGTAAAAACCGTTTAATTATTTTCACTTTACAATATTTTTTAAAATAAATAAATGCAAAGAATTTCTTTTATAAAATGCATAAATTCGAACGTAATCATTCAGACCTTTTCAATAGCGCCGTGCGGATGATTTTAAAACGTAAACGTGACACAGTTTAAAAAACATTTATTTTTTAATACACATTTAAAAATAGACGTGCAATTTGAAGCGGATGAATGTTATGATTTTATTGCATTTTTTTTCTTCGTTACTCTCAATTTCCTATCAAAAATACAAAAACAATTGAAGTATAACACAATACAAGACAAATATTACACCAATTATAGCGCCCGCGCACCTTTGACTAAACTGTCGCACAACTGTTTAGTCGCGTTGTGATTGCTATGAGCTTCTATGGTGGTGCGCACTCACGATTTTTAGCTGTGCAACTAAACAGTTGAATTAGCTGCGAAACAATCGACAATCGCGGTAGTTTAGTCAAATATTTGAGCGCGCTTAAACACAAATAAATGCCAAAAGTAACTTAATTACCACTCAGGGTGAATAAATTGTTACTTAAACAATCATCGTCTGAGTGTAGAATTAAAACACATAATTTAAAACGATTACTTTACAATAGTTAGGCATATCTTATCTCTATAACTGGTATCGAGCGAGCTGGTGGGCAGGGTGACCGCGACGTCCACTTTGGAGTGGGAGGTCGGCGATGACGTCACGAGCTCCGCGAGCTGAGAGGAGGAACACTCACTGGAGCGTGACGTCATAGTCCGCGCTGGAAAAGGAATTACTATGAAGAAAATTCTAGAAATTAAGATAGTTTTTTGTTTTATGATATTCGATTTAGATTGTGTTATTTGTATTATACTCACAGTTGGTATAGCAACTGGATGCGGAGTCACCAGAGGGGCTGTAAGGCTTCATCTCGTAATGGTTACTGCCGACTGACGACTGCTGTCGGCTGCGGTGGCCGAATGGAGACGCGTAGCTAACAAATATGAATAAATCCTTTAATGTCGTGATGAAAATAGTTCATTATCAAAGAATAAGTAACGTAAAGACCAATATCCTCTAAGTTAATGAACTAGAAAATAATGCTATTGTTTAAAATTCTTTGTCAAAGCTTACTAAATTATAAATGCAAAAGTACAGACGGATAGATGAATGAATATTTGTTAGAGTTTGTAGCCTAAACTCCTGTACAGGCCTCGATGAAGTTTGGCATAGATCTCGAAAATAGTCTGGAAGAAAACACAGCCTACTTACTATTGTTTTTTTTTTTTTTAATTTTGCGCCGATGAAGTCGCGAGAGAAGTTTATTGATACCAATCTTATGTGGCATTAATTCTAAGAACAAATTTCCAATAATAAGATTATTTTATTAAGAAAACTTTCTGAATAAAAATAGCCGACTTTACTATGTTACCACGACACTACAACTTCCCGGTACAAGAAAAACTGAACGAAACGGAAACGCTTGCTAATAAACATCACGGTCGAAGTTGAGCATAGACAAGCAAACAACGTGTCACATCACAGACTATATTAATAGCCAGTTATGTCAGATGTCCAACTTCAAACATGGACATGTTGACTTCAAAAAGAAAATTTTAATTTAACTGTTCCGTTCCAGGCAAGCTTAAACCAGGATTTTTCAATTTATTGATTAAAAAAAGGAATTGAATTATTAATGATTTACATTTTTCTACTTCTCAATTACCATAACTATAATATCGTGGTTATTTCATTCTCAAAGAATATTTCTCTACATTCACTGAAGCAGAATAAAACGATCGAGTTCTTACTTTAAAATGGACTTTAAATTTTTAATATAAAAAACCTACATTCATAACAATATCGCAAGTAGGTCGTAGTTGCCGCAATATCCATTCTCGCTGCGCAGAAAATTATTTTCACTTGTTCTAGAATAATCGTTATTTTGTCGACTAATTAGAACATGCTCAGTTACAATTGCCTCTAATGGTTCTATGGAGAACTTAAACAATACCCTTAGTTTTATATTAGAAAATATGGCATTAAAATAAAAAAAAAACGATCGATAAATTACACTCGTTACCACGTAACACATGATAGTATGCTTTTTTCTTATAGAAGTGGGGGCAAACCTGCAACGCCTCATCTAAAATTACTTATCGGGAACTGCATACTTACCTCCAAAGGAGAAGCTATTTCCTTAAAGGCGTATTCGTGATTGTGAGGTATAATCTCTATAATTACTGACCTGTCTCTAAGCTGCGGCATGTCGTAGTGGTTGTCTGGCCTCTGCATCCAATACTCATTGCACGTCCTCGTTAAATCCGGTGCGGCGTTGCTCTTGTCCCGGCCGCTATACTTGGGCACACCTGGGTGCACTATCGTCAATGTTATAACGTATCAAATAGTTAAATCGGTTCTATACTTTAAAACGTTGGCTTCTCAAAGTATGGGTTATTTATAAAGTCTACTTTCGGCAGTATACCTGTCCTCGCAGCGGTGTAGCCGGGCCTGGCGGCGCGGTATCTGCACCACACATACAGCACGGCCGCGCCCGCCGCCAACATCGCCACTGTTATCCCGATGCCCACATACAGCGTCACGTTGTTCTTGTATATACCTACAGTTCGAGATTTGAATTGAATTTAATCTTACATTTATGTAACTACAGCGTTGTCTGTCTTTGGAGAAAATTGTATACTTGCTTTTTTATATTATAAGGTGGCAAACGAATTTGCAACGCGTGCATGCAACGTGGCAACGCGGAATTGCTCCCATTTCACGTCTGTCTTCTGTGTGGTCGTGATATTGCACCACGCGAGCCAACCCTTATGTGCGAAGATGTTAAAACGGGCTACACCACTGTTAAATTGTTTATTTTTTCTAGTAAGTCTTTTGTTTTGTAAGGTAAGGGTAGTGGATGAGACTAACGCATGGCCGCAGCGCAAAGCCCGTCGCGGCAGGCGGCGTGCTGCGCGGCGGGCCCGGCGCAGCTGCCGGCGCATTGCCGCCGCCTCCACCTCGAGCACTCCGCGCTGCATGCCGACCACGCGCCCCAAGCTGACCAACTGTCTAACGATATTTATACGTTTAGATCTTACAGAAACATTCATCTTACCTCTACGGAGGGGATTAAGTCCACCCTAAGACCCGTTGACATTTTACATGACGGACGTTAACAGTTCTTACTGGATTGACATCTAGAACAATCTTCATCCCCCTGTGAAGCCTGTCCGCGGCAGTGTGCACCGCCGTTGGCTGGCGCGGGCTCGCTGCACGTGCGGCTGCGACGCCGGCCCGACCCACACCGGCATGGAGACCACGCCGACCACTCCGACCACCCACCGTTTACTATACAAATGTCTTTATGCTAAATACAACTCAAGTATACCGCAGAATTGTAGAGTAGAGATAGGTATGTTTAGTAAATCGATGTTATTAATGTCTACTCGGTAATTATCTCTTTTATTATCTTTTAATCACCTATTTAGGCTTTAACAAAAAAATCACGAAAATATTTCTATAATTTGAAAGTTGCCTCGTTCTGATCGTTTTATAAAACACAAATCCTTATAACAAAGCATGCGATGTAAGGATTAAATAATATTTTATCAGTGGTGGACAGCGACAGGAACATTGCGGCACAAACAGACAGACACGCGAGCGCTGCGGAGTGTAAATCAACGCGAATGCAGGACGTATGTACAATGTACACTCGCGGAAGTCTGCGGTGTTCCACTTTAGAAATAATTACTTCCTTCACTGCAACTAGACAAACTTCGCCTCTTCCTATAAATTAATTAGATAGCAGTGAGTGCAATCGAAAGTATAATAACAAAAAGAAATTATCTATGTATCCCTTACCGATATTTTCCGATACATTTATAAGCGTTGTATTGGTTGTTTTCGCGTCTCGTTTTAAAATGTTCAAACGATAGCTTCTAAAATGGAACACCGCCAGATTCCCACTGTACTTATACATATATACGTACCGTACACGGCCAGTACTGCCACCTCCGACTCGCGACGCCCCGCGATATTCTCCGCTATACAGCTGTAGTTGGCTATATCCTATACAATAAAAAATATTTCAAGTTTTGCTCTTTAAAATCACGCGTTCCTAGATAACACTAACTACGGTACTCGTACGAAATCAGGTCTTATTTGAAATTGTATATTATGATATGCTGTCCCGTCATAAATACTAATATTTTAAATACCAAAGTTTAGATGGAAGGATATTTGTTAGAGTTTGTAGCCTAAACAGCTCAGTGAATTTCGATGAAATTTGGTATAGATGTAGAGGATAGTCTGGAAGAACACATATGACTTTTGTGTCTTAATTACACGCGGATGGAGCCGCGGGCGAAAGCTAGTTTTAAATAAATCATAATTTTTTTAAAGTAGTAGTAAAAAATGTACAACTACGACACTTATACTGCATTCAGATTCATTAAAAACAGAGACCCTTAATGTAGATTCTCATTGTAATTATATTCTAAAGTAGAACATTTAACGTCATTGAACAATAGTTCAGATTGCTTACTTGTAAGCCGACTTTAGGAAGTACTAATGTCTCGTCCGTAGCTTCTATGGTGACACCATTCCTGGTCCACTTGATGGTAGCAGGCGGCGCAGCTGGCGGCGGCCCGCAACGAAACATCACTTGCCGTCCTGCCTCCACGGTCGCAGACTGCGGCTGTTGCGCGAATTGCTTCTTTATATCTGAGCAATAAAGTTCGTAATTCATTACTTGTGTAAAATGCTGAAGAGATTGATAGAACAAATAGTTCATATTTATCGAAAACACGAATAACAAGGCCTTAATACAGAATTTTCTGACAAATCAAGAGATTTTAAAACACTAAGGAGGCTTCCTTAATGTAAATTTCGCTCACTTAAAATTTTAAATAAATTATTTACATTGTATCATAAAAAAGTAGTTCATAAACATTGTGTAATAACCATAATTTTCATTGCTACTAAGTAAAATCTATAAAAACGCATAAGCGCAAAGAGAAAACCTTCAACGCAATGTAAGTTAACATAATTGCATACGTATAAAATTACACGGCAACTCATTAACTTAATGCTAATGAAGAGGGGTATTAAACATTTTATTTAAAACTTTTCATATTAAAAAACTAACTACTAATATTAAAGTAGCTAATTACAATCCATCTGAAAAATAAATGTATCCAAAGATCCCTTTTTTAGTACTTTAATTAATATACATTCCTAAAACCCTAAAATAACAAGAAAACCTACTGATGATCGTATCTAGTTGTGGTATATCTCATCTTAATATCAATGAAAAAAAGCTATACGAAAAAGTCGATTAAAATTGAGTGACGATCGAGACGACCCATTTAAGTCGCGCGACGCGACTCCGCGACGTCGCCCCGAAACATCCAAAATAAAAGCTAGTGAGCATTTATCAAATGGCAAAGTGCTCGACTTAACGAGCGGAAATAATGTTTCCTCTATTTAATGGTTCCGTTTCATACCGACCCCTCCGAAGACGCGGGATGATAGAGTAAAAAACAACTCGTTAAAAATTATTACATTTCTCCTTTTTTAAAACGCTCACTCAAGAAAAGGTTGAGGACACCGACGCGAAGCTATACCCGCTCTTATCTGTTCGCGTTAAATTTTACGATTTACTTGGTTTTTAAGCCTTTTTTTAATCTTTTTAACATTTAAAACGTTTTAGGTTGATTCTTTTATCTTCTAATTAAATTTTTATTTGATAATACAACCTAATTTAAGAATAACAAAATAGTAAAGTAAAAATTCTCCATGTTACGTTACATTTGTATATACAATTGTATATACAATAAATGACTAAAGAAAAATTTTAAACGATTCTTAAAGTATACCAAAAACAAACATTATTAATGTTTAGTAAACGCTTTCTAATAAATTTCAAGGAACTGTCTTGAGGGGGATAAATAATTGCTACGTATCTTATGCTGTGAGTTAATTAGAACATTTTTCGTCGCGACTGTACTATACAGACATTGACGGCCTCCCTAAAGCGTGGGGCATCTATTTGTAGACAATGGGACTTGCTTAATTGTTTCCAAACCCCATACATATCGAGCTAAATAAAGATATATGCTTATAGAGACACATGGAATAATTATAACGTTTAAAAAAATGTATAAAATTCAATTAAGGTGTGTAAAAATCTATAAAAAATAATAAAACTATCTTACTAATCATACTTCATACTAAAATTAAAAACGCGAAAGTTAGATTGGATGTATGTTTTTATGCAGATTGTTTCTTGAAATTTGGCATAGATGTATAGCAAAGTGTGGGAGAACACATAGGCCACTTTTGTTTATGTTTATTTCCAAGCGGAGTCGCGGGATAAAGCTAATAACTTAATAAACATAAACGGAAACTCAAGTTATGTAGTCATTCACCGGTTGCACGTACTCGTTTCCGTTTACATAAAAAACACGCATTGTGATACATGAAACGCTTTTATAAATTAAATCAATAAAACCGGCCAGTATTCATGAGAAATTAATTTAAAGATGGAAACCCGTTGTATGCTCATTCTCACGTTCATTATTGTTGTGCTTCATTTATTCGCATTTCTTACACAATCTTAATGTGAGAAACATGTACGATTTTTTCATCAACAAACTTTGATATAAGTTTTTCACAGGAACACAGTAATATATTATGTTAACTTCAAAATCACTTCTGTACTTAATATAAATTTACATTTCTCTAAATGTAACGCACAGACGTACACGTTTGACTAAATTATCGCACATCTATTGTGCGATTGTCGGTTGTTTCGTGCACCATAAACACATAGGAATCAAAGCGAGACTAAACATAGTTTTGTCAAAGGTAAGCGCGCTCTTAAAAAGTAATTCATTGGAGTTGTACCTTTTTGACCGACTTCCCAAAAGAAGGAGGTATTCAATTCGTCGGTATATATTTTTTTTTATTTTATTTTTTTATGTGTGTTACGGCATAACTCCGCCGCTAGTGGACCGATTTGGATAATTCTTTTTTTATCCGAAAGGTAATGCTTGCAGGTGGGTCCCATTTTTTTGTTTAATTTTTGGAGTCTAAGACTACGACGTAGTTAAATAGTTTAGCTCAAAATCGCGCGACGAAATTTCGGGTCATTTTTGCTTTCTTTGCTTACGTAGCCTAAACTATAAGACTTACATAAAAATGATGTATGGAAGAATTGTAGCCCATTAAATTTGCTAAATAAATCTAAATATAAAAGTCTAAAGTATAAATCTAAGTATAAATCTAATAATAAAAGTCCGCGATAGCATATATCTACCTATTAAGGTTGTCGCACAATAACCACTTTTTTCATCAAAATATCGCTCGAAATCTACACCCAACTTTCAACGCTATTACTCGTGTTCGG